TATATATATATATATAGTATTCATGTTTTTTAATTTTTAATTTTTATTTTTAAAACACAATATTTTTATTTTCAAATATTTTTTCTTTTTCTTAGGAAATGATAGTCAAATTTAAGAATTTAATATGTTATTTTGAATAACAAGGGTCAATCTCAAAAAAAAATTAATTCGTTATTTTCTAAGACATTAAGTCAAATGTCGAACCAAAGTGTTGTATCATTATAATAACTACAAATATTTTATTTTTAAAATATTTATAATTATATTAATCTTCATAGTGATTATAACATTATCACAATTATGTGTACTTTGTGTATGAAAGATATAGTTAATGATTAAAATAATAATATTTTTTTATATTATTCAAATTATATATAAAAAATTATTTTTATTGTATTTTAAAATAATATAAAATTGTGTAATTTAGATTGTTTAACTTTCATTTATGTTTATTAATGTGTAGTCAAATATATTTAATTTGCTTTTAATTTTATAATAATATTAAATATTTTTGCTTAATTAGAAATTTAATGTTCGGGGTGGCTCATGCTCTATATTAAACACAATCATAAACATCACTTAAAAAAAATAAACGAATTAAAATCCTATAGGAAATACATTTCTTGAAAATTATGGAGACAACAAGAAAAATTTCTTTAACCGTTGGCATTATTTTTGGCTTTTTTGATATTTGCATCAGGTATAGAACTAAAGATTGAATTCAATATTTTTGATGAATTGTCTTTTATATTTAAATTACAATAGTGTTCTTATAATTTTTTTAATATTTTTATGTAGATATGGCAATAGAATCACAAGCAACAGGAGTGAGTGAAAACACACTTAATAGTTGTGTCAAGAATGTCGATTGTGTGGGTAAATGGCATTGCGATCCAGGCCTAGTTCCCGTATGGTGTTCAAGGCACGTGTCTATATTGGCATTAATCAACATTCTTAGTTTGAAATTTATTAAATAAAACAATGTAATCGTCATATTTTGATGTGGCTTAGAATTATAAATAATATGGAAAATTTGTGTATTTGGACCCAAATCTTAATTGAGATGGGTTTAAATTAATATTTTTGATTTTTTAAATATAATTCAATTATATATATATATATATATATATATATATTATATATATATATATATATTATATATATATATATATATATATATTATATATTATATATATATATATATATTATATATATATATATATATATATATATATATATATATATAATATATATATACTATATATATATATATATATAATATATATATATATATATATATATAGTCAAATTATTATTATTTTCTATTAATCTAATAGTTAAATTTTATATTTTTAAATGTTTTTTCTTTTTTGAATAACATGAAATTGAAGTGTAAAAATTTTAATACGTTATTTTCTAAGACATTAGTCAAATGTCGAACCAAAGTGTTGTATCATTATAATAACTACAAATATTTTATTTTTTAAAATATTTATAATTATATTAATCTTCATAGTGATTTAAACATTATCACAATTATGTGTACTTTGTCTATGAAAGGTATAGTTAATGATTAAAATAATAATATTTTTTTATATTATTCAATTATATATAAAAAAATTATTTTTATAGTATTTTAAAATAATATAAAATTGTGTAATTTAGATTGTTTAACTTTCATTTTATGTTTATTAAAGTGTAGTCAAATATATTGAATTTGCTTTTAATTTTATAATAATATTAAATATTTTTTGCTTAATTAGAAATTTAATGTTCGGGGGTGGCTCATGCTCTATATAAACACAATCATAAACATCACTTAAAAAAAAATAAACGAATTAAAATCCTACAGGAAATACATTTCTTGAAAATTATGGAGACAACAAGAAAAATTTCTTTAACCGTGGCATTATTTTTGGCTTTTTTGATATTTGCATCAGGTATAGAACTAAAGATTGAATTCAAATATTTTGATGAATTGTCTTTTATATTTAAATTACAATAGTGTTCTTATAATTTTTTTAATATTTTTATGCAGATATGGCCAATAGAATCACAAGCAAGAGGAGTGAGTGAAAACACACTTAATAGTTGTGTCAAGAATGCCGATTGTGTGGGTAAATGGCATTGCGATCCCAGGCCTAGTTCCCGTATGTGTTCAAGGCACGTGTCTATGTTGGCATTAATCAACATTCTTAGTTTGAAATTATTAAATAAAATAATGTAATCGTCATATTTTGATGTGGCTTAGAATTATAAATAATATGTAAAATTTGTGTATTTGGACGCAAATCTTAATTGAGATGGTTTTAAATTAATATTTTGATTTTTTAAATATAATTCAATTATATATATATAATATATATATATATATATATATATATATATATATATATATATATATATATATATATATATATATATTATTCATGTTTTTTAATTTTTATTTTTAAAACACAATATTTTTATTTTCAAATATTTTTTCTTTTTCTTAGGAAATGATAGTCAAATTTAAGAATTTAATATGTTATTTTGAATAACAAGGGTCAATCTAAAAAAAAAAATGTTTATATAGTTGTTATCAAAGCCAATGTTAATGTTTAAAAGTATATATATATATATATATATATATATATATATATATATATATATATATACCTAAAGTCACAAATTTTCCTGGGTTCTGATGATAAATGGCTTAGTTATGATACATCTGTTATTTAGTTATGAAATCAATCTATCAAACACAAGAAGCAATTTTTCGAAAACAAGATCAATGCAAGAGAATAAATTGCTAAACAATAGCAAAACATGCAAGTAAGTCATCAAGACCTAAAGTCACTAATCTTACTAATACTTTCAAGATTCTGATGAAAAATATGTGCCATCTAGTTGGTAGAATTATTTTGCTGTAACAATAACGTTTGAACAACCACTCTCATTGACGGTCTTAAAGATGGAGTGTGTTTCGTGCACTCTATTGCAATTCTCAACACCTTAATGGCTTCTTCTCTTAAAGGCTCTGCAATGGTAGAATCTACCAATTCGAGTGCACTTTCTTTGCTCATAGTGTTACCGTATACCCAACTTACAATATCCCTATTTTCTCCAAACTCCGGCTCCAAAGGCTTCTTCCCGGTCACTAACTCCATGAGTACTACGCCAAAACTATAAACATCACTCTTCTCCGTCACATTAAGAGTGTGGGCATACTCTGTCATAATAAAAATCAACATGATCAATTTTTAAGTATAATATCTAAAATGTGAAAAAAGTTCCTCAATGCTTATACTATTATAATTGACTAATTGATTCAAGAAATCAACTTATAGCTTATATGTGAAAATATTTTTATCAAAATAAAAAGAGTCGAGGCTTACCAGGAGCCATGTAGCCATGGGTTCCAGTAATGACTTGAGACGAACTACCAGCTTCTCCGTCTAGAATCTTAGCAAGTCCAAAATCAGCAATTCTTGGCTTCCATTCCTCATCAAGCAATATGTTACTTGATTTAATATCCCTATGCATAATAGGTTTATCACAACCATGATGCAAATATGCCAATCCTCTTGCTGCACCTAATGCAATATGATACCTAACCTCCCACCCCATCCGAGTCTCCTCCTCACGCAACCTTTCCCACAAACTCCCATTTGGTAACAACGGATACACAAGCAAACTACTGTCTTCACTTGTGATACTACAATACAGCTTCACCACATTCATATGCCTTATAGAACTCAAGGTAGCCACCTCAGCTTCATACTCAGGTGAATTTGAAGTCACGCGTTTGACTGCAAAAGCTTCACCACTTTGTAGCTCAACCTTGTAAACATTCCCTGATGATCCTGTTCCAATTATGTTCTCAGCTTTGATTCCATCAATAATTTCATTCTGGTTAATGTTTGATATATGGTATTGCTTGAAATTCCAAGAAATATTCATAAATACTTGCTTCTGTTTATGTCTCCTGAAGAGAAAATATGCTAACGAAACAACCAGAACCATGATTACGCTGGCAATGGAAAAGAACAGGAGGTTTCGGAGTCTCTTCGAGCTGCCAGATGGACATGGTCGAAAGTTCTTCAAAATGTTGCTGCATAAGCGAGGATTTCCCATGAAACTATCTTTGAAAGCTGGAATAGCTAGTGAGTTTGGTATGGAACCAAAAAACTGGTTGTGTGATAAATCAAGCTGGCTAAGTTCAAGAGATGATAAACTCCATGGAATCTCACCAGATAACTTGTTTGAGGAAAAATTCAACGAATTAAGTGTATGTAAAGCACCAATATTATTTGGAATTATTCCAGAAATGAAATTTTCAGCAAGGTTTACTTCACTAAGAGAAACACAGCTTCCGATAGAATCAGGAAGAACACCTGAAAGATTGTTGTTATTCAAAGTAAGACTAGTTAGGTTCTTCAATTTACCTATAGTTTCAGGTATGTGACCAGAAATTAGATTTGAACTTAAGTAAATCGAAATCAAAGAAGTAACTCACCTGAGAAATTATTATCATATAAAAAGAGTTGCGATAGAGATTTCACTTTACCAATATCAGGAGATATTGAACCTTCAAATTGGTTCCTTCCAAGATCAAACACTTCCATATTTGGCAGGCCCCATATACCTGAAGGAACAACACCTGAAAGTGAATTCGTTGATACTCTAAAATGTACTAAAGCGGTGCAATTTGCATAGTTCTCTGGTATACTTCCCGTGAAGCTGTTATTCAACAATGACATATAAGTAATCTGGTTATTGTTGCACAAGTGGGGTGGAATAGGACCGAAAAGCAAATTATCCGAAACATCTATCCGTTTTATTCCAACCCAAGAATCAAGCTTCTGTGGAAGAAAACCAGTGAGTTTGTTCTGACATAGCGAAAGGTCGGTTAGACTCTTGAAATCTCCAAGTTCTTGTGGAATCTCTCCTGAGAATTTGTTTTGGAAAAGATATAGAATTTGAAGATTCTTCAAGGACTTTAGCTCAGAAAGATCACCTTCTAGCTGATTCGTTGAAGCAACAAATCGAACAAGACTGGTAAGTTTGCCAAATCCAAATGGAAATTTTCCGCTCAAATTGTTATCGTATATCTCAAGTCGCCTTAGATTCTTGAGCTTTCCAATATCACGTGGAATCTCACCAAATAAATTGTTGTAAGAAAGATCAAGATACTGAAGCTGAGTGAGATTTCCAATACCAAATGGGATTTTTCCAAAAATGCTGATATTGGATAGATAAAGCCAATTCAAATTTTCAAGCTTTATAATCTCCAAAGGAAAGGAGGCTTTTTCAAATGGATTATCACCAAGGCTTAAAAAATTGAGTGTTGTCAGATTTTGCAATGATTTCCATGGAAATATCCCTGAAATTCCACTTAAATTTAGATTCAAGTACTCTAACTTAATCAAAGATGAAAACTCGGGAAGTGGACCATTGAATGAATTTTCACTTAAATCCAAGTACTTGAGGTTTGTACAATTTTTCAAACCCTTGGTGATATTTCCATGCAAAAAGTTGGACTCCAGAGAAATTTTCTCAAGACACGGAAGACTACATATGATGTCAAAAGGAAGAATGCCGGTGAGATATTTGTTTGGAAGGTTTATTTGCTTAACAGAATGTTTGGAATTGCAAAGAATTCCATAGAAATTGCAAGGTGAGTTAGATGAGTTCCATGAAGCAAAAACATTTGAATCAGAAGTCTGAATTGAAGATTTAAAGTTCAAAAGAATTTGAAGGTCGTATGAGTGAGAGAATGTAGAGAGGAAGAGTATAAACAAAGCGGTGACAAGAGAAACGTTTGCATTGTGATTCATGGAAAACACAAAGAAGGCCATGAAACTCATGAAACCCATGGTAAATAGAGTTTTAGAGGGTGATGATTTAGCTGATTATAGTTGAAAGAGAAGACTTGAGTGTGTACTTATTCCAAACATGCGTTTCATGATCTCCTTTTATAGACTTGAGTGTGTATTGTTCCAAACATGCACACATGCAGAACAATATCCTGGGTTGCATTGCATCAATACCCTATGCACAAAGACTTTCGATTCTTTGAAATGAATTAAGTTCCTATTTGAGATAAACATATGGAAGTGAAAGACAATACTTTGAATTCAGTTTTGGAATCATACTATAACCATGTAAATGCTCTTTGGATGGTTCTCTAGCAATTTACCTATATGCAAAGAATATATTACTTCTCAAAGTAACTAAAATTTGAACTATGCTTCTCTTCTTACCTTTTTAATTTTTAGTAAACAATGACTAAATGCCATTCATTTCTCATGAGAGTCATAGTTGGTTTAATAAGTTGATGAACAAAAATGACTGTTTCCATTAATGGCAAAACTACAATTAAAAAAAATTATAGTTGAAAGTTAAATATTTTTCCTTTTAAAATTATCAATCGTTTTTATTATCATCATAAAAAAATATTTTATAACCTTATAAAATTATCATGTAAACTAGAATATATTATTTCTCAAAGTAACTAAATATAAACTATGCTTCTCTTCTCAACTTTTTAATTTGTAGTAAAGAATGACTGAATAGTATTCTTTTCTTACTAAAAAACTTTCACTGAAAATATAAGATGAATTTGTATTTGTGACAACCTATACATAGTACTATATACATCATGTGAATGATCTTTGTGTGGTTCCGTGACAAGATAACTTACATGCAATGAATACATTACTTTTCAAAGTAACTACAACTTGAACTCTATTCTCTTCTAAACTTTTCAATTAACGGTAAGAATGAGTGACTACCATTCTTTTCATCAGAGTCACTTATATGCTTTTTATTTATTTATTATTCCTTTTCATTTGTATTTCTAGTTTAATTTGTGTAAGTGCTAGTATTGTGATAATTGTCTAACTTTAATTCATATTAACATAGTTCAAATGCTACTTAATACCGAAATATTCAACTAAAAACAAAAAATAATAAATTAAAAGCTACATATGATTTAACTTGTATTTTCAGATACATTTAATGATATTTGGTTAGCTATATAATTTTAATTCATATATATACATTCTGTTGCAATATGTCGTTTCTTCTTCTATACTTCTATTTTAGAAAGTCTTGCAAAAAACTACACCTTTTATATATTGCTTATTTGGTTCAAGCTTGTTGTAATTTGAATAAGGTTACAAGTGGTCTTTATATAGAGACTTAAGATAAGATATAAATGCTATGACATTAGTTGTAACTAGTTCCTAAGTCTTTTCACTGCCCAAGAGAATGTTACATTTTGCGCTACCCAACAATAGTATTAAATTTATTACAACAAAACTCTCCCATAAACTTAAGTACTTCTTGGATCCATCATTCCCAGCATCCTTTTACCTCTGTCGAATAACTCATTCGATAATGGTTTTGTGAGGATGCCCGCAGCTTGATCCTTACTTGGTACATATTTCAGTTCGACACTTCCTTTCTTCACATGCTCTCAAATGAAGTGGAATCGAACGTCAATATTTTTGCTTCTTTCATGGTTCACTGGATTCTTTTCCAGTTTGATTGCAGATTTGTTGTCGACTAGAATTGTTGTTACACCTTCTTGTTCTTGCTCCATCTTGCTCAACAGTCTTCCGAGCCATATTGCATGACATACACACCAAGATGCTGCCAAATACTTTGCGTCACATGTCGAAAGAGTTACAATTGGTTGTTTCCTCGAGAGCCAGGTAAAAGCAGTAATTCCCATAAAGAACACATATCCTGAAGTACTTCTTCGATGATCTATGTCTCCACACCAATCATTGTCGAAGTAGTCAGTCAACTTATAATCTTCTGTTCTCGAGTAAAACATTTCAAGTGACGCAGTTCCTTGGACTTATTGAAGGATTCTTTTTAATTCCTTCCAGTGTGTATAGACTGATTCTTCCACAAGTCGACTTACAATTGAAACACTCAACGAAAGGTCTGGCCTTGTGGAAGTGAGGTATCAAAGACTTCCTACACTACTAAAAATATGACATTTGAGAAAGGGTTTTTACATCAGGTATAAAAAATATATGATGTGAAAAGTATTTGTCAAAAGATTTTACATCAGACCTTTACTTTCCATGACATGAAAAACATGTGATTTAGAGAAAAATATAACTAGGTGGCAGTTTGGTAAATAAAAAGAAAAATTTTATAAAGGATTTTACATCGGGCCTTTATTTACCCCCAGTGTGAAAAGTCCAATGATAAAAAAAATAAAAACACGGTGGCTGTTTTGTAAATAAGATCAACTTTTGTTATAAAAAATTTGGACTTTACATCGGTTTTAAGGTCCAACGATGTAACATACTGACCGTTACATCGGGCCCATTGCCCAACTGATGTAAAAACATCCTTTTATTTCACAAAACCTTAATATCCTTTACCAAAAGTTCATTTCATCTTTGCGTGCCTCTGAACCTTCATCTCTCTCGAAGGGAAAGAAGACTGTTTATCTCGGGCATCAAAAATTTCTAAATCGTTATCATCCATATCATAGATTGCAGAAAGCTTTCAATGGGGAACAAGAGCATGGTGTTGCTCCAAAGCCCTTAACTGGAGAGGAAGTTTATCAACTACAACAGGGCATTAATGTTGTCTTTGGAAAGTACTAAAAGCGATCTACTGTGAAATTACATGGAAAAAGAGGTTGATTTTCATCGATCTTCCATATTGGTCTAGTCTCGAAGTAAGACATTGTATTGATGTGACACACATGGAGAAAAATGTATGTGATAGTGTAATCGAAACACTTCTCAACGTTCAAGGCAAGACAAAAGATGGTATTAATGCTCGTCAGGATTTGGGTTTGATGGATATACGAGAAGAGTTAACTCCACAATATATAGGTAACAAGACATATTTGCCTCCTGCCTGCTACACTTTGTCCAAAAAAGAGAAAACAAGTTTTTGTGAGTGTTTAAAGTATCAAAGTGTCGCATGGTTACTCATCAAATGTCAAGAGGCCTGTATCAATTAAAGATCTCAAATTAGTTGGCTTAAAATCTCACGACTGTCATGTCTTAATGCAACAGCTACTACCAGTGGCTATTTGTAGGATATTGCCTAACAATGCTAGGAAGACAATAACTAGATTATGCTTATTTTTCAATGCAATTTGTTGTAAAGCCATTGATCCATTAAAGTTAGACGATTTGGAAAATGAGGCTACAATTATCTTGTGCCAATTAGAGATGTATTTCACTCCTTCATTTTTTGACATTATGGTTCACTTGATTATTCATCTAGTAAGGGAGATTAGATTATGTGGTCCAATTTTTTTACGGTGGATGTACCCAATATAGCGATACATGAAGATCGTAAAAGGGTATACAAAAAATCCACACTGTCCAAAAGCATCAATTATTGAGAGGTACATTGCAGAAGAAGCAATTGAGTTTTGTTCTAACTATTTGTCAGGAGTGGATGCTGTAGGGGTTCCCAAGTCTCGGCAGGATGGAAGATGTGAGGGTGTGGGTACACAAGGTTTAAAAGTCAAGAGCCTAAGTATTGATGTGGTTGTTCAATCGCATTTGTATATATTGAATAACACAGATGAAGTTCAAACTTACTTATCTGCTCACAAAAACATCATAAAGAAAAAGTATCCCAAGATGAATGAAAGAGGGTTGTTAAAAGAGCATAATAAGAGTTTCTCTGAGTGGTTTAAAGGAAACCTTGCTAATGATGATAATACTTCTAATACAGTTAAGTGGTTGTCCTGTGAGCCTAAATTTAACATAATAAGTTCGAGTGGATATGATATTAATAAAAATTCATTTTATACAAAGTCAAAAGATGACCATAGTACCACGCAAAATAGTGGGGTTATGATTACGGCCGAGTCCATGCACTTATCTAGTGCTAAAGATGAAAACCCCGTTATGGCATCTACACCCTACTTTGGGGTGATTGAAGATATTTGGGAAGTTAATTATATTGTGTTTAAAGTTCCTGTATTTAAATGCAAATGGGTTGATATCAATAGTGGTGTGAGAATTGATGAATTTGGAGTTACACTAGTTGTTCTTAGCAAGTTAGCTTATGCAAACGAACCTTTCATCATGGCATATCAAGCAAAACAAGTGTTTTATGTCACAGATCCTTCTAATAAAAGGTGGTCAGTAGTTTTACAAGGAAACTTGCATGATAGTGATGAAAATTAAGATGCAAATCTTGATATTTCCAAAACTCCTCCTTTCCAAACAAATGTGCCTACCTTCATTGAAGAAAATGAAGAGGATGATGTGCATGTTATTCGCATAGATCATGAAGAAGGAATATGGGAGGACTAGTACAATTTTTTTATAAGTTAATTCGACATTACTTTGATTTCTAATTGTTTTTGTTTCGATCTTAATTTGATATCTAAATATTGTTCTTTTATGCTTAATTTGATGTCTAAATATTTTTATTTTGTACTTAATTTGATTTCTAATTGTTTTTATTTTGTGTAAACACATACATGGGTGATTGAACCGATAATCCTTCTTCATCTAGTAACCCTGAAAAATAAGAGTTAGAGGTCCCACTTTGATGGAAAAAATTGAGAAAGTTCATCAAACGGGTGAAAAGATAAAGTTCGAGTTTGATCCAAGAACCTATGGATGTACTGGTGTTGGTAAAAATGCTACAAATTTTAAGAGTTATATAGCATCTCTTGCTTGGCAGAATTGTAGTATTTTGAGAAACAAGTGGAAAGACGTAGATAATGGTATAAAAGAGGTTATTTGGGTTGATGTTAAGGTATTTTAAATTCAATACTTTATTATATTTTATAATCATATACTAATTAACAACATATATCGTATACTATATGTGTAGGCTCATTTCACTATTC